ATATAAAATACAAACATCATGATTACCTTAAATTCAAAATCTTATTAATTTATGATTTAATCGCCTATTCTCTTATTACTATTAATATTATTTTGACAAACACGGATCAACATGTTGATGTGCACATGGCTTATAAATTATAATTTATGAGTTAAGTGCTCACCTTGATTCATGGGTGGTAAGTAGTGCAAAGGTAGTAAAATACTAGAAATCGCACAATTTATTATGTATTAATACTCACTAAAAAATCAGCTAGTAACTAACTAATAAGTTTTCCTTACATAATGTAAAATGCATAGAGCGCAATTCTTGGTATATCGATCCAAAAATTTTTAGAGCACAATTGGTTTATCGACCTCAAAATRTTTAGAACGAAATTGGTATATGAAAAGGTAATTTTAAGCGCAATTGGTAAACTCCWATATATTTTAWTTCTAGAGGTTCTATTACGTTTTTACGAAAATAAAATTCGCTGATAAATCGTTTGAAATCCAGAATAGCGAAATCTTACTGCAGACAATTCCAGAATGTTCTTCCCCGCAGCTGATTTCAATCACTGGATCATTTCTGATGAAAAAGTGACTTGGAATGTTGTCTGCAAAACTACTTTTTCCATATGTGAAAACAGCTCCGGTTTCTGAAATCCGATTTGAATTTCACATTATAATTTACGCAAAATATTTAGTTTCTTAACCTCTATAACTATAAGACTATGTAGATATCTTACTATGTAGATAGACATACAATGGATAAAAAAATCACCGATGATACATGTACAACGTATACGCTTACCTACCCTTAAAGTCGTRTGTAACATTTTATTTTAACGCTTTCAGAGATACAATGATACATGTAATCAATATGAAGTTTGTCAGTATTAGAAACAAGCCTGGGCAAGTTAATGATAATTTTTAACCGAGTTAAGTTAAGTTAATGGAAAACATTTTAAAAAGTTTAAAGTTAATAGTTAATAGTTAATCTAATTCTTTTTTTAACTCAGTTAAGTTAAAAGTTATATGAACATTTTCAATTAACTTATTAACTTAAGTTAAGTTATTTTTTTTTTATATTATATCTATATAAAT